CAACAATGATGAAAATGAGTAACGTGAAGATGCTTTCAGCCAATCATGTTAAAAAAATTACTAACGACACCTAGCGGAGCTTTTGAATGCCAATTTTGTATAGAAAACCAAAATCACCATATGATAGAGAAAAATTTTCTCTATCTACTGATACCTAAGTGATATTTGGCCCTTCTCAAAATCCAAGACCACCAATCATGTTGAACTCGCTTTTGTTTCCCTTATTTCACTATGTGCTTATGTATGGTTGTGCAGCAAGTTTTCGATAGACTTTGGTTCGAAAATTAGGTATTTCGTCAGTTATTCTGACATCTAAGTAATCAATAGACTGACCTGTCTCAAAAGTTATCGCTATGTTAGGGTCTTTTTTTCCTAAGTCGGTTAATATTTTGTTCATTTCTTCAACTGTCTTTTGTGTAGTCAAGAAAACATCATCTCGAAATCTGCGGTAGAGCTGTTTTTCTGCTTGTTGTTGTGGGGTGTGGGTGTGGGTGTGGGTGTGGGTGTGAGTGTGGATGTGGATTTGGGTGTGGGTGTAAGTCTTCTCTTCACCCACACCCCACCCACACTCCACCCGCACCCGCACCCACCTACACCCCATCCCACACCCACACCCACACCCATACCCACACCCGACCCACACCCACCCACACCCACACCCACACCCGTACCCACACCCACACCCGTACCCACACCCACACCCACACCCCACCCCACACCCACACCCACCCACACCCCACCCACAAATCAAAGGTAAATACTGATGATAAATCAGATGAAAGTCAGATTTGGAGATCGAATAGAGATTAAGATGATAAGTTTGAAAAAGAACGACGAGAAGTTTCTCGAAACGAGAATTGAGATCGTGAAAAGCACGCAGAATATCAGTGTCATCAAGAAATTCGAATAGGTTGAGCAGCAATTCGTTCGACAACCATTCCAATTTCATCTTGTTTTTTTTCTTCGGTTGTACGAAGAAATCATTAAAGAAGATTGTATAATCGCATACGATGAAAAAGAACGTGCTTTTTTCTTTCTATCGAGGTTCTTTGCCGTTGACAATCATTGAATAAAAACTTCTCATTTGCCACGACGGTTATTTTTCTTGTTGGGAGAGAAAGCAAGAAATACTAACTATACGGATGGTCGCCTAGCACACAAGATATTTGGGTGTGGGTTCTGTTTGTGGATATTACTCTGTATTGGTTAAGCACTACCCACACCCACACACACTCACACCCCACACCCTTTACTGAGTGTATTCAGTTTCTGCCATATAGTGCGTCCTTGTCAAGGCAAAGGAAATAAAGCAAGCAGACTCTCGATATATGAATTTCAGTTCCACAAAAACCAAGACCAAACGAGAACGAACATGAAGTCCTTACTCGCATACTTCTCAATGTGATTCACTGAAGCAGAATCCCTCCATGACATTTACGCGGTGTGTTTCTTTTACATGTATGCATACATAGATGGCGCGTAGTTGCCTTTCTACAGCGATGAATTATTCACTTGTGTTGAGAAAGAAATACTATGTTTTGAAAGTGTGGAACATGGTGGCCACATGTAAAACTTGAAAATCAGAAAAATTAGAAAAATTAGAAAGATAGAAAGTGATGAAAAAAGGGCTAAAAATCATCAATTTTCTAAAAAATCAGAAGATTTGGTTAACATGTCTGGCTGCTATTGCACAAGTCATCATAAATTTTTAAGAAAATAGTACTCGTTGAACTGACTGACGTAAGACTGATTTGTGGTCTAGAAAGATATCCCCCTAGATGTTCTATGAGGTTTTGTGGAAACTAAAAGCACGACAATAGTTAGAGCATGTATTATCCCTTTATTGAATAATCATTAGAAACCAGATAGACATCTTTTTTCAATTAATACAATCTATATGGATAGGGTCTACTTTGGTGATTTGCTTTATTTGAATAGAAGTTGGATTCTCAGGCATTCATGCATGACATCCTATACAGGCTGCTTCTTACAGACGTTTTTCTCAAACAGGATATAAACTAGGCAGAATTAACATTCTCATGAAGTGGTGCGCGATCCAAATTTTCAACAAGTAGATCTAAGCTCATCGATGTAGATATTCGGTTTAGTGTCAAACCATCGGCAGACGTACCATCGTCATGCCCAACTGAGAGGCCATCGCCAAGTATAGCATCAACTGTCTCTAGTTGCTCTTTACGTTTTTGCAATCGTTGTCGTCTCAGTCGAATGGACTCATCCTCGGCAAGATATTGGTCGACAAAGTTTGTCTGTTCTGTTGGAAGCTGTCTCAAACGGTCCTGTATTCCAGAACACGTGTCAAAGACACATGCTGCACGCAGGGATAGTGCAACATTATCGATACAGCGTTTGACTAATAGTTTCCAATAGGCATAAATACTGATGACCATGTCTTGTGCCGCATAATCGTCATTTGAAATCGCGCTAAACAAAGAGGCATCTTCATCATCGTCATGGTCACCAGTGGCTTTTCTGGAATTGGTTTTGTCCTTTGGATTGTGTGATTTACGTTCTGCTTCATACTCGCGAAATTGATTGATTTTATTCATGTAATAATGATTCAGCGTGTACGGTTCTAGCTTTTCCAATCGAATCATTTCTTGGAACTGATCACGGATGATTTGTTTCTTTTGGCCTAAATACAACGTGCTAATGCGACGAAATGTTGGTAACAACTTTAATAGTAGGATATCACCTTTACAAGCGTCTTTGTCATTATCGAATAGCCGTGTGCATGTCAACTGAAAACTTTCGTCAACGAGTACTTCGATTAAACGCCAAAATTGATCGACCTTTTCATTAATAAAACGCTTCAATACAGGATGGGGTAGAAAATTCGGTAATTGTTCACCGAAGCATGCTGACATAGCCTCACGAACTCTGGCACGGTATTTTGATGCATAGAATTCGCTGTTTTGTGTGTTTATTAATTTTTCAACTTGACTGAATTTGCGATGCAATTCATTCACTATACTGGGACGCTGACCATCATTCGAACTCGCAAAAACGTTTTGAAGAATGTTTTCTACGTACCAACTGACCAATTCGTGATATTTCACTAATCGCGCCTGTGTCGATTGTAACTCCGGTGGAAATTTCGACAATTGGTCACGAACGTCTTTCAATTGTTTTGCTAGGTCAGCTTGTATTTTTGGAAATGTTTCTCTCACACGCTCAGCGTATAAATTAGCTAAGCGATCAATCAGTGCATCAATTCCAAGACAACTCGAGTCCACAATAGACGACGCCGGATGTTGAGAGAAAAAATCTTTTTCGCGCCTTCGTGCATCTTCCAGAGAAATCTCTTCGTCTGTGCTACGATTACGAACAGCGATAAAGCCTAATTTCAGCTGAAATACGTTAGCTCGATCCATTAACAGTTGTTGTATCAGCATATCATCATTCGTAGCGAGGTCCGTCTTGGTAATGACGCCGATCGTTCGCGCACCGTCTGGATCGACTGCACGTGCTAATGCAAACGATTCGACCGTTGCAACATCGACATTCGCTGGAAAGACACACAGAATGACACTGCCTTCCTGATCAATAAATTTCTGAATCAAGGTTGTTGTTTGTTTATGAATATCTTTAGGTTGATCAGCGATCGGATTGCGCGCAATGCCAGGCAAATCCACAACAGTCAAATCGCGTACAGTCGGATCTTCCACTTGTAATTCAATCAGGTCAGAAACCACATTCTTGTGATTACCAGCTAACTTTGTAGTTTCGTCTTCAATGTACTTTAGCAGGTTCATACTTCTTTCGTCCAATGGAATTTTTTTGTTTCCATGCAACCGGTAGACTTGTCTTCGATCAGATTGACGTAAGCGTAACACTAATGGACATCGAGTGACAATACCAGAACCTTTCGGAAGCTCAACTAATGATAATGCCTCCAATAATGTTGATTTGCCACTAGATTGGTCACCAACGACAACCACATTCGGAAATGTGATACCGTAGTCATTAGATGTTAATAAGGAGCGCACCTGATCGATTTTGTCCATAAGTGGACGAATTTTTCCATCAAATGCATTTGTATATGTGTTTGTTGTACTTGATCCGTCGGTTGCAGTACTACAGACATACAAAAATCGATAATAAACCTCGTAGTTGATACTGAAAACACGAGTATCTTAAAGGTGGATTTGGGTGCTATTTTGATTCGCACAGAGTCAGAGTACCTGAATTCAAGGGAAAGTTGGGACCACCCTATGAAACTTCGATCACTTGCCTTTTATCACGAGATGTCCGGATGCAGTATTTCATGCTTCTGGCCCTTCAAAGATGAGCAGTATCTCTTACATATTCAGTGCTAGTTTCATTCAAAACGATCGCATGTACGAATGATACTCTGCCAATGCACGATAGAAAAATAAAAACCAATCATATCAGACAGACATGAGCATTTCTACCTATATTACTATTTCAATACAAGTTTCTCCGACATATCGTATCGATGGTCATGACAACCATGCGATGCAAATTTAGTTTTTTCAAGTTGTCTTTAGAACAAAAGTAGACAATGATAAAAAAGCAAGGATCGTGCATCAGTATATCTCGATAATTTAAACTTTTCAAACATGAGGACGTACTACGTGCGTACAAGTCTATACTTACATATCTGACGATGGCGTTTCGTACTGCCTGTCATCATCATCATCAGCTCTTTCAGGATCGTTCAGAGCGAGAAGGCCGATGTTTTGGGTGAGTCGAGACCGTATCGACTGTAGAATTGACATTGATGTGGTAGACCAAACAAATTTATGTCTAGTTGAAGAATTGAGTTATTACTAACTTTAAAAGGAAAAGAATACACATTCACTAGAAGAAAATGTATTTTATCTTCGTATGAAGACTAGTTCCCATTCTCAAGATAGTTATTCAGTTACTCAACAATTGGAAGATTAACTATCTTAACGATCGAGGAATCTAGCGCCCGGAGGAGAAGAAGTCAGGTTTTACTTCTGTCTTCACGCAAATCAGTTTTCAGATTCTTTATAGAGTTGATGATGACTGGAAAAAACGAAAAACAAAAGTGATTAAAACAATTCTGAGGAAGCTTTATATAGTTTACTTTATGATGGAAGCCTTTAAGCGCCGTCACTTCTTTCATCTTTTCTTTTGTTTGATTTTTCAGACACACAAATACCTTACAAGCCTTCCACTGCATTTCTAACAACTCTGGGCGATTCACTATGATAGGCACACAAAAGTACTACCTTGCCAACAAACTATGGTTGTCTTCATTTGCCCATGTACACTTTTTTTCATATCAAAAAGAAGGAAAAATATTCGCGACAAGCAGTGTCCAGTCGATTCAAAATATTGATCTAAGTCACGATCAAGCAAGAATTGATTAAAGAATAGAGTATGGTGTATTAAACATAGTAAAAGAAGAAACCATGTGAAATAGTCACCATTAATGAAGAGATTCGAGCTATCTTGATGGTGGGTGTGAGGATGTGTGAGAATGTGAGTGTGGGCGTGGGTGTGGATGTAGGTGTTTTGGGTGTGGGTGTTGGGTGGGGGTGGGGTGTTGGGTGTGGGTGTGGGATGTGAGTGTGGGATGTGAGTGTGGGGCGTGGTTGTGGGTGTGGATGTGGGTGTGGTTGTGGGTGTGAGTGTGGGTGTGAGTGTGGGTGTGGGTGTGGTTGTGGGTGTGGTTGTTGGTGTGGGTGTGGGTGTGAGTGTGGGTGTGCGTGTGATTAGAGAGAAGAATAACGCCCATACCCACACTCGACTCACACCCACACCGACACCCACCCACACCCAACC